CTACACAATTTTTTTCTTTCTGATGTAGACTTATTTTAAACAATTTGTCTTGAGATTTTTACTCAAATCCGCCCGGAGTGCAGATCCAGGCTTTCATTGACTCCCCTTCTACCTGAGCTAAGAACAGGAAGTGGAGGGTTCAACTTATCATCCACACAAAACACTGCAGAAACATAAATATTGAGATTAGGACTGCAGGGTATATCGCGAGAACAGCCTGTGCAGGACGCATATCACAACAAACTGCATAAACTGCAATAAATGGGGATCTCAAATGTTTGCATTTCAGTCCAATAAACAGAATGGACCAGAGATCCACATCAAATAACCAGTCAGTGGAGAGTATTTCCAGTTGGATTAAGGTTTGCTAACTTTTATTTTAAATTCTTTAACTTATTTTCAGATTTTTTTAATTAATAAAAAAGTGATGAAAGTCTAAATACAGCTGTGTCTAGTTTTAGTCTATACTAAAAGTGCAACAATTTGGCCAGTTTTACAAATACTGAGCTTATATTGTGTGGTGGTAGCTGAGCATCATCCCTCAGACATGCTCAGAGCACYACACATCCAGCAGAATGTTTGCTAACAACTTTAGCRAWAACTGTCACAAGATCGTCCRKAATGTTATTTACAAGGTTTGACCAGAGTGCTTGTTGTCTCTGTTTCATCTCCACACAATCTGAGTTTAAAGCTCTGCCCTGAACATCAGCAGGCAATGAACATTTTTCAAGAAAAGCTTGAACTTCAGTTAAAAACAGTAAGTCCTTTCGTGCGGTCAGTGTGGAAAGCCGTGGTGAAAAGCATCACTGGCAGGTGTTTGATGTCACTTTTGGTATGTAGCACATGGATGAGCGAGGAATTACGTGYTGCCCCTCAGAGCCGGAGTTATGCTGTGAAAATGTGACACAGTGTTGCTGAAATGAAAAATTCCTTAAAGCAGAAACWTTTGCTGCTCTTGTGGCCTGTTAGGTCCACATGAACATAGGATTTATGTAAATTTGAGCAGAAACACGCTGCAGTTTTTCCACTTTCACATGATAAACAGAACGGTCAGGTAAACCTCAGTACTGTGCAGAACTTTGTGCTAAAATGGATCATAAATATGCAAACTATACCAGCTTTGWTAAAACAATAAACAAAGGCCTCCTTCCAGAATGACAATTTTAACAGAAAAATAACACGAGACCCAAACTCAATGACTGACTTCAAAACAAAACAAAAAACAATGTCAACAACCATCCAACTTACGACAGAGTATTAGGGCCACACAACAAGATTTTTAAAATTATTATTACAAGAATAAAGTCATATTATTATGAGAAAAAAAGTCATAATCTCACATGACGTGTCCATTTTACATTCCTCATTTCCCTCACACCTGTTGTGTACAGCCACGTGTCTGTGTTTATAAAGTAGTCCATGACGACTTGGGTCACTGTTAGTGTAATATATGCTTTTTCATTAAAATTAACTACGTGACGACTAAATCTGTCAATGCATCCATTAATTACAATACAGCTTCAGTTTAGCATATAGTCGTTTGCACAATTTCTAAGTCCTGCTACTGATGATTTTACGCTAATGTGCTAAAAGATTAACTATTTATTTTAAGCAATACTAAAGAACTTGACAAGTTGCTCAACATTCCTCATTTTAATGCAAGTGTAACTGCATGTTTTTTCATGTAAAGCATATAATATTGTTACTTTAATCTCGTGATATTATGACTTTATTCTCATAATTTAAAATAAAGTAAAAAATCTTGTGTGGCCCTAATACTCGTTGTACAAACTAACTTTTAACTTAAAGATGTAATAAACATGCAAACCTTATCATTTAATGATATCTGATGGGACCTTTGCATCAGTCATACTGTGTTTAGCTTCAGAGTATAGCACTGTTGTTATTTCTATTTACACTGTTGTCATCTAATATTTCTTCCTTTACTCTTTATCTCTAATGTTTACTTGAACGGTTGCAGCTGTAAGAAATGCAATTTTTCCCCGGGGATCATTAAAGGATATACCTTTTTTTATTATCAGTATTATTATTGTTACTATTTTTACAATTGGCCATTTTAGGATCACAACATTTATTAGTGGGTTAAAAAAAACATACATATTTTTTCCACTTCCTTGTGCAATGTGTATATCGTCGGTAAGCTAGTTTGCCAAAGTCGTTAGCAACTTTTAAGGCATAAATATAGCTGAAGTAATAGCTTGTGACACGGACAGCTAACAAAAAAGATGGAAAGATATATAT